GTTTAGTTGATATATCTTGGATCTGCCAGTGGCTGGAATTGAGGCACTGAGGTATTCATGACTTCACTAAGCTGTTCCTGCAAGATGTTTCTCCAAAGTTCTGATTGTATTTTTTAGTTTTTTTTTTCTTGTGTTGTGGGACAGATCATTCTGGACCAGTGCTGGTAGCACCTCTCCTATTTTTCCCACAGGACTTGCATCTTCTAGGACTCATGAAATTATATAACCAGAGTTCTGAGGAGAGCTCTTCATGCCTGTGAAGGGAGCCATGACCCAAGACATTCCAGAAGGTACTTGGAGGCTAGCACTGGAGAGATGTGAGTTAAAAGACAGATTCATGTCAAGCCTCCTGAGTACTGGGATTATAGGTATGTGCCACATTATTTCTACCTCTTACCTCAGGGCTGGCCCTCACCTATGGGTTCTCTGTTTTACTTATTCTTATACCCTACAACAGTGGTTTTTCTTGAATGGTTATGAAGTATCATGTATCCCCGAGTAGCCCTAGAATACAGGCTACTCAATTATAGTTGGTTTTTCTGGGCCTGGACATATCCTTCTGAATTGTGTTCTTCATCTCTAGCAGCTGAGGTTCTTTGTTTCTTCTTTGTGTTATTGAGGACTAAACTCAAAGCCTGGTGCTGAGCTACATCATCAGTTTTTTTAAAATTTTGGGACAGGATATTGCTAATTTGCTCATGGTCACCTTCAGCTTGTGATTCTTCAGCCTTAGCCTCCCAGGAGTGCTAAGATTAAAGAAGTGTGTTGTCATGCTTGAATCTTCTGTTCTTTTTTTTCAGGTTAATTTTACCAAATTGTATTTCTTTTTAGATTTTTAAAAATTAATTTTATTGGTGTATTTAAGATATCCATAATGATCGTACTCATCGCAGGGAATTTGTACCTGTGCATAATGTATCTTGATTCTTTTTTCCTTAATCCCCTTCCCTCCCTTCAATTTCTCTTCCCCTCCTTATTTATGAAAGCTTTGTTTCCATTTTTCTATTAGTTTTTTCCTTTCCTTTCCTTCCTTCTCCCTCCCTTGTTTCCTTTCCCATTTGAACATTTGCTTCCTATTTTTCAATATCTGATACACATTTTAGTCCTTATTTACACTTTCAGTTTCTCACACTAAAGAAAGAATGCAATATTTAAATATGTGTGTCCAATTAATTTCACATAAGGTTAGGGTCTGAAGGTGCATCCATTTACCTAGAAATGTATCAAGTTTGTCCTTGTTTATGGCATAGTCCTATGCATTGTATAAAAACTCCCAAACATCTTCTTTATCTACTCATTGACTGATAGGCATTTGTTTTGAAGATTTAGCTGCTACAAATTGTGGTGCTATAAAAGTGGGTGTTTATATCCCTATGGTATGATGTTTTTAATTCTTTTGAGGAGATACCAAGAAGGTGAAGATATCAAGAACAGAATCACTAGAATTAGTTTTTGAGGAATCTCTATGCTGATTTCCACAGTGGTTGCACCAACAGTGGAGAATGGTTTCTTTTTCTCCACAGCCTCACAAACATTAATTATTGGTTGGTTTCTTAATAACCATATTTTAGAGAATTTCAGGTTTTAATTTATATTTCTCAAATCATCAGTGATGTTGAACATTTTGACCACATATTTATTAGCTATTTCTACCTCTTGGTCTGAAAACTGTCTGACACATTTCAGATTCCCACTTTTGGACTGGGCCTTTAAATTTAGGGGTTTGACTTTTTTCTGTTCGTTGTGTTCTAGATGTTAGTCCTTCATGAGAGGAATAGGTAGTAAAATTTTTGCCCATTTTGTGGATTGTCTTTTCAATTTGTTGTCAGCTTCCTTTGCTGTGCAAAAGCTTTTTAATAAGATGAGATACCAGTTGTTGATTGTCTGTAATATTTCCTGTCCTGTCCAGGTTTTGTTCACAGTTTTTGTCTACACCTGTGCCAGGTGTCTTTAAAAGAGTTCTGCCTATTCTGTCTTCCACCAGATTTAGTGTTTCATATTTAGATCTTCAATTTTAGTTTAGTGCATGATGATAGACATTGGTCTAGGTATAATCTTTTTTTTTTTTTTTTTTTGGTCTTTTTCGTTTTTACCGGTACCGGGGATCGAACTCATGACTGCCTGCTTGCAAGGCAGGCGCTTATGCCGCTGAGCTAAATCCCCAGCCCCTAGGTATAATCTTGACATGTGGAAAGCCATTTTTTGAACATCATTTAGTAGAGTCTATTCTTGTTTCAGTGAATGTGTTTGGTGCCCTTGTCAAAGATAACATGGCCGAGTGTGTTTTGAGTTGTTTCTGCATCTTCTAATCTGTTCCATTGATCATCAGATTTTTTTTGTCAGTACCATGCTGCTTTTCTTTTAATCACAGTGGATTTCTAGTATAATTTCCAGACAGGGATTATGTGATGCCTCCCTGCCTTGCCTTATATTGTTATGTGTCTCTTCTAATTCCAAATGAATTTTAGGATTGTTTTCTGTAATGCTGAGGTATGCTATTGATATTTTGATTGGGATTGCATTAAAGATGTGACAATTTTTGGAATATGGCCATTTTAATTATATTGGTTTCTCCTACTCAAGAACAATTCATATTTTTACATTTTCTGATATTCTCTTCAATTTCCATTTTCAGAGTACTGTATTTTTCAATGTAAAGTCTTTTACAGCCTTCATTACATTGATTCCTGTTTCAGTTAGGGTTTAATAGAGAAACAGATATAATACAAGAAATTCAAATGTATAAGAAACTGCAAGATTGGTTTACAATAGTTAACCACAGAAGTGGATGAGGAAGCAGAGGTATGCTCGAGGCTGAGGGGCCCAGTCCAAGGTCTGGAGCTTCCTGCAGTGATCTGTGCAAGTCTGTATCAGTAAGCCAATAGGTTTGTGTTGGAGAGCTGAAGAATCTATGCTGAAAAGACTGAGTTCTAGGCAGAAGCTAACCAGCTGCACCAGAAGCTAAGAGACAACATCAACGCTGAAGGTGAAGACTAAAGCTTCTCTAAAGAATTAGCAAGTCTTTTCTCATTTCCCTTTTTATTGTAGGTAGACTACCTGCTCTAGGTGGAGGGAGGGTCCTTTAAACCTGCACCATCTCCCTGCCGGTGCCCTTCTCTTGCACAGGCTGAGGATGTTTACAAAATGTGGACACTAGTCCCCTGCTGAATCACTTAAGCTTTTACATTTAAGTTGACACAATGCACAACATCCTAGAATGGTTAAGATCACATCCTCTATACCCCAGTAGGTGTAACTGCTGAGTTACTTAGCTAAGCTTCTAGACTTCTCAAATTGACACAATATGTCAACCATTACAAGTATGTTGTATTTTTGAATGTTATTGTGAAAGGTGTTGTTTCCCTAATTTCTGAGTTTATTTTTCCACAAGAAAGCCATTGATGTTTGTTTGACTGTTGTCTGTATCCAGCTACAATACTGAAATTGGTTGGTAAATCTAGGAGTACCTTGATGGAGGTTTTAGGGTCTATGTACTGTATCACATCACATGATATCATATGCAAATAATATAACTTCTTGCCTTCCTATTCTTACTCATTTTATTTCTTATTGAGTATCAGGGATCTAGCCAAGAGCCTGATTGTATTAAGGGTATGGAAAGAGGATAAAATAAACAAATTTAGTAGTACATGATGAGTGACTGAGAAGTCAGTGCCTCCAGATGGGCCAAGAGAGAGACACTCCAAGACAGCCATTATTTATTGGGTGTATACAGTGGTAAGTGGGTCTAATGAAAGTTTCCAAATTGGCAGAAGATTCAGAGGCCTATGACTCAGTAGGCAAGTATAATCTTGGCATGACTCATGAACAAAAATCAAACTCCACAGGAAGTACTTCAAAGAATCAACAAATGCTATCTCATCTATTAAACTTTTTTTTGCATATTCAAGAAATCACCAACAGAGTGAAAAGACAACCCACAGACTGCAAAAAAGTTTTAGCCAACTGTCCTTCAAAAGACTCCTATCTAGAACACATATAGAATTGAAAAAAATCAGGCTTCCCAAATCTGAAAACCCTATTTAAAAATGGGCATGAAATGAACACACACTTCTCAGGTGAAGAAATACAAATGGTAATACATGAAAAAAATGTTCAACATTAGGCAATCAAGAAATGCAAATTAAGAGCTGGATTTAGCTCAGCAGCATAAGTGCCTGCCTTGCAAGGTGCAGTCGTGAGTTAAACAAACCAAACCAAAACAAACAAACAAAAAAGAAATGCAAATTAAAGCAACACTGAGATTCCATCTCACTCCAGAAAGGCTATCAAGAAACCAACAATAACAAATGCTGGAGGGGCTGTGGGGGAAAGGAAATCCTTCACTTTTGATGGGAGGGTAGACTGACACAACAGTGGAGATCAGTGTAAAGAGTCCTCAAAAAGTAGGATTAGAGGTTCTATTTGACCCAGCTAGTTTTCTTCTGGGTAGTTTCCCAGAACTGAAAACATACCACGGTGATATAAGTGCACCCATGTTTATAGCAGCACAATTTGTAATAGGTAAATCTTGGAAACAACCTAAATGCTCATCAACTGAGGAATGGAAAATAGAGATGTGGTAGTTCTATACAATGGAGTAATATTCAGCTATAAAGAAGGATAAACTTGAGGATTTACTAGGTAAATGGATGTAACTAGAGACCATAGTCACAAGTAAAATAAATCAGACTTGCACGTCTAAACATCGTATTGTCTTCCTAGTGTAAGAGATTGAAAGAGTAACTGAGATCCAAAATGTACAATGCATATAGTGAAAGGGAAAGAAACTGCTCAAAATGAAAGAACAACTGTGATAGAGGAAATAAGGGAAAACAAAACAATATATATGTAATAGCTAAGTTAATTATGCTACTAATTTCTATTAATTCACTGAAAAGAATGGTTTGAGTTATACTGCTTGATCAACTTGGCATGCCTGTATTTTGTAATCTGAGCAACAACTTTGAAGATAACAATACACAATATATTAACCACTGTTAATTTTGTATTATTTTGAAACTATCATTTTATTGCTCTTTAAAATAAAAATGTTAAAATAATTCATCAATAAAAGTTCTAAAGAACACAGATCGACACACGTACCATTATGCTCCTTCGTGACAAAAAATACTATGCTCCCAGTGTTCAAGAGAAATACATCAAAATGTAAGTTAAGTATCTCATGGTGTCTTTTATATGAGAAACCTAAAATACATATATATAGATCAAAATAAAGGGGAAATGATAGGATCCAGGAGGTAGACATTTTGAAGGTGGGAAGAGGTTCATTTTGTATCTGTTCCTATGCTTTTTCTACACTAGACATATGTTCCTTCCCCACTCAAGTGTTGGCCTGTGTGTCACTCACGTGTCCTACTAGCTAGTGTGACCACAGAAGTCTGCTACCTTTTACCTATCACAGGAGCAAGTTCATGGCAGGTCATCGTACCATGCAGGAAAGACTTATGAGAAGACTTGACAGCTGAGGGATTGTTCTTTTCAATGACAAACAAATCACTGCTCTTCCCACAATAAAAAATGTGTACAGCATTTATATGTTGACTCAGTGAAAAAATGAAAATTCTAGTCTCCCCACCCCACCTACCCACTCAAGGAGTGGAATGAACCCAGAGCCTTGAAATTTTTTTTTTTTCAAAATTTAGATATTGAAGTTCTAAGTTGTTCAGGATGAGTTTGATCTTGTGATCCTCTTGCCTCAGCCTCAAAGACTGCTGAGATTATAGTATCTGCCATGACTTCTAGGTACAAGATACTTTTTTTTTTTTTTTTAAAACAATGTTGCTTACCTTGGATAGTCTGGGAATGAACTGGAAGAAAATCCCACAGGAAATTCCATATTCACCATACTCTATGCTAGCACAAGGGAGGGAAACTATGGTGGCTGTGAGCCTCACAAACCTGCACATGTACATCCTGATTCAAAACGTAGGGTACTTGATTTTCTAGCAAGATTTTAGAGTACCACATTTAGAGTACCCAGTATTTTCCTGAGTTGATTATAGATTTGCCCTATCTTCTTTTGCCTATCATTCAACCCTAAAGACCTGCAGAGAACATGTAAATAAACCTCACAAGATCATAGAAACATCAGAAAAAAAGATCACTGGGGCCCCCTGAGGAAACTTAAGTGCAATGTGACTGAACACTACACTGCAGAGAAAACAGACAAGTAGCATGGAATAAAAAAAACCAAGTGTTAGTTAAAAGTCATATGAATGGGTTTATAAAAAGCAAGCCCTTGCAGTGCTACAAGGTGCACATTTTCATGTAGCATTTGAATTTCTCTTAGGTTCAACCACCTCATCACTCAATCCTTTATCTGTCAAGAAGCAGTGCCCTTCTCACGTGTCAAGATGTGTGATCAGGGAAGGGCTGCTGCAGTTCCTCTCCTGATATAACTGTAGGTCACATATAAAATAACAGACTGAGAGCCCTTTCACGGCCCCGAGGTCCCTATCAAAAGTAAAACTGATAAATACTATGAAAGGCTTGGCAGTGAAAGCTGAGTGAGTTGTAACAGAATGTGTTTTCCTCCTACTCTGTTGTTCTCTTTTCATACGGCTTTCTGAAAGCTGCAGAGAAAGCTTTCCATGTTAACCAAGGAGACTGGTGAATGAGGCATTCTGTGACTCCATAGGCCAAATACAAAAGGGAGTCTGATTCTAGCACAATGGTTTCCAGTGCAAGTCAGTGATCCACTGTCAAAAAGGTTTCTCACAGGCACTCCTACACTAGGGATTCCAGGATAGAAGTAAGGTTTTGCTTCTGCTAGAGTCCTCCAAGATGCTTCTCACCACTCTTTATACTCTATGGGTTTTTCTTCTGTGTAGGTCCTGCTAGCATAGACAAAAGATGAGCACAGTATAACCAATTGTCCCTCATTCACTGCTTGTGGTTTCCTTCAAGAGTGGACCCACTGGTGCTGCAGGAGGTGTGATCGGCGTTTGAAAGCCTTGCCACACTCACTGCACTTGTAGGGCATCTCCCCAGTATGGATGACCAAATGCTGGACAAGATACATGTTACGGTGGAAGGCTTTCCCGCACTGGGCACACTCATAGGGCTTCTCCCCAGTGTGGACCCGCCGATGCTGCACCAGCTCCGCACTGCACCGGAAGGCCTTCCTACAGTCCATGCACTCGAAGGGCTTCTCACCAGTGTGGACTACATAGTGTTGAATCAGGTGCGCTTTAGTGGCAAAAGCTTTCTCACATTCTTTACACTTAAAAGGTTTTTCCCCAGTGTGTGTCTTACTATGGCGAATAAATGTAGAGCGGTGGGTGAAGGCCTTCCCACACTGTGGGCACTCATACGGCTTCTCTCCAGTATGGATTGGGTGATGCTGTGTTAGGTACGCCCTGCGTTTAAAGGCCTTCCCACACTCGACACATGTGTATGGTTTCTCTCCGGTGTGAATGAAGTAGTGACGAATGAGGGTTGAGTTCTGACTGAAGGCTTTCCCACATGCAGTGCACTCATAGGGCTTCAAACCTGTGTGAACCCGCTGATGTCGAACAAGATACCACTTCCTGTTAAAACCCTTCCCACACTGTTTGCAACTGTATGATTTCTTCCCTGCGAGTACTGAAGTATCTTTCTCAGTTTGCTGAGAGTCACATCCACGGAGAATATCCGGTGGGGCTTGCTCCTGTAATATCCTGGAGTACAAACCACCATCCATTTCCAAACTACCACCTTCAGGACATGTGTTTCCAGGACTGGTCTCTTTAGGACATTCTTTCTGTCCTTTCCAAAAGCCCTTCCTGATCTCCAGGGTACCCCATCCAAAGTCCTCCGAAGATTTCTGAGTTTGCCTTCCATGGAGCAAGATTTCTTCAGACTTGCTTGGAAGACAGGTGGTTGGCATACTGGTCTGAAGTTGTGCTCTATTACCTGAAAAAGAATCCATACAGACAGGTTTGTGATGCAATGAAGAAAAACCAAGACAAACATTTCACTTGAAAAATGAAGGTGCAAACAGAACCACTGTTATGTACTTCCTGTATCTTCTCATCCCTAATAACCCAGGTTCCAATTATGCTCTGTTAAGTCCTTGCAGCCATTTAACCAGTAAAGGGAAAATCATGAGAACAAGCTGCACAAAGGGACAGACAATCAGGAATGTAGCAGTCCACAGATGGGAAGGGAGGATAGAATTTTGATGATATTGTTGGTAGACCATTTGGTCTAAGAACTGATGTCTATTGGTGTCATAAAAGTATAGGAAAGTGACATATAAGACTAGAAAAAGAAAGAGACAAAGATAGCGAATAGATCAATCATGGATGGTTTCCTTGAAGGGTGTCCTATGAGATGGAGCTGGGACAGAACTGAGAAGCCACAGTGCTTCCCAGATGGAGATGTAGGTGCTGCATTGAAGCAAGGGAGAAGGCAAAGGGAGATTTACCCTCAGAGAGGGGTTGAAACTTAGAAACAAATGTCACAGCTGCCTTGGGAAGCAAACACTGAAGGAGGTGGTAGACAGTAAAGAAAGAAGGAATGGCACAAAATATGAAGCCCAGTATTGCTGCTGCATCAGCAGGCAACAGCAGCAGCAAGATGGGCAGAGCAAGGTGAAGGCATAGTGGGGCATACAATAACTGTTCAAGTCTTGCCTCTGCCAAGCCAGCTGCGAATGGATGAACTTCTTCCTCTACAAAGTCTAATACTCTTGTCTCAGCGCTGTGGGTGCCGTTTCTCAACTGGCGCAGAGGGCTAAATAAGAAAATGGCTGGGGAAGGGGCTGGGGATTTAGCTCAGTGGCACAAGCGTCTGCCTTGCAAGCAGGCAGTCGTGAGTTCGATCCCCGGTACCGATAAAAAGGAGAAAGACAAAAAAAAAAAAAAAAAAAAAAAGAAAATGGCTGGGAAAAGACAGCTCCTGATGTGACATCCATGCTTGTTCACAGCCACGCCTGCTCATTATCACTGTTGCCTTTGGCTCCAACTGCTGTGCCTGAAATAGTAACATGGACATTCTCCAAGTTCAGAAGGACCCAGTACAATGGTACTCACACAGGTACCCCACGAGAACAGGAAATGGGGTCACCCCTCTGGACAAGTCTATGCTTAGAGTTGAGCACAGACCAAGCCAGTCAGTACTGAGTCTTTTCTCTCCTGAGTACAAACAAACACACGAAACAAATTAGTTCTATCCAGTGAATGTGATGGAAAACAACTTTTACAGCAGGATTCCCTAGAAATAGTAACAAAATTGGGGGCTGGGGATTTAGTTCAGCGGGATAAATGCCTGCCTTGCAAGCGCTTGGTCGTGAGTTCGATCCCTGGCACCAATTAAAAAAAAAAAGTAACAAAATAGTAACAAAAATAGTTACTATTTCTAAGATGATAATATGTAATTTACAACTAGTGATTTCTTACTGTTAATTTTTTTGGTAATTCTGTATTATTTCTACTTTTTTGCTTTTTATTCTCTTTAAAAAAAGGGGAAAAAAAGCATTTTGTGTTTTTTTTCCTCAAACACAAGCAACATATACATATTTCTGTAAGCATGGAGGACGAATGTACAGACAAGGCAGAAGAAACAAGTTCCCTGAGAATACAGAAGGTGTGATGTAGCTGCCCAAGACACTGGTCAAGGTTAGAGACAAGATCCCTGTCATGGGGGACAAAAAGGGAAGTCACAGTATACAACAGAGACAGACGAATGTTTAAAAGAAGTTCTAAGAATAAAAACTGGAACTGAACCTTTAACAATATTAATTCTGCCTATCCAGGAACACAGGATGTCTTTCCATTTTCTACTGTCCTCTTTAATCTCATTCTTCAGAGTTCTATAATATTATAGAGGTATTTTAATACTTTGATTTGGTTCATTCCTGGGTGTTTAATTTTTTTGAAGTTATTGTGAACGTAATTACTTTCCTCCTTGGGTTTATTATCAAGGCAGAAGAACATGACTAGTTTCTGTGTGTTGACTCTGTATTGTGAGGCAAGACCCCTTCTTTTGGGTCTGGAAGGAAAAGTGTAACATTCCTTTTAATTCATTTTGACTAATGCTACCAAATGGACAATATGAACAGGTGACTTTCATTGATACTACAGGCCAACCCTGACCTAAGTAGTAACTTGCAGGACCTAATTATATCCTCCAACAATTCAATGACACAGACTTACTTCCCTCTGATTTTCTGAGCATAGCAGCCTTAGGTGGTATAAACTAACCCCTTTATTTTTCTTCTTGGCCGCATGGCTAGACCACATTTCTCAGTCACAAGGCTGAAAGTTTGGCCAAATGCCTGTGGTTTGTCCAGAATGTATACAGAACACATATGCATGTCTCTCCTTGCTTTCTCAGTAGCCTTCAACCCTCAGATCATGTTCAGAACAATCGAAAGCTGCCTGATCACAGGTGAAGTCAAACGGATCTCTCAGTAAGTGTGGTGCAGAGCTCACCTGTTCATGCACATTAGACCTTGAGGAAGGTCAGAACCAGACAGAACCCTTGAGGTCACAATAAGATGCCCCACACAGTATCCTGTGGTCATGTCCTGTCAGTCTGAAAAATGCCATGATCATCCCTGACAATGTCATGGTCACCTACCTGCACAGGTGACAGGCATGAGGCCTTTCATTTGCCACAGCTCCTGCCCATGCTCCGGAAGGTAGATCAACTCCGGTTTAGGAACCTGGTACCCTGTTGATGGCAAAGGAAGCAGGAAGGGGGTAATTGTATGAGAAGAATGAAGCCACCACCCTTGTCTGGAACCTCATGAGAGGAGCAAGATCACAAGTAAGCAAAACATTTCTCTGAGACCTGAAAACCAAGGGCACTGCTGTGATGGAACTGTGTCCCTCTAAAATACAAATGTTGAAATCCCAGCCTCAATGTAACTGTACTTGGGGAGTCTGTGGGAAGTAACTGAGCTGCTGAAGAGGGCAGTCTACCCAACCCCACTGCTCTTGACTGTCTCTGAAAGTCAACTCTGCTCACCAGCATACCGTTTTCTCAAACAACCAGGGAAAATGGCAAGGGTGAGGATTCCGTGCAGTGATGTTTCAATTCAAAGTCACTGACTCTCAAACTCCTATGCTTCAGTCTCCTAAAAAAGCTCCATTCCAAATTCTCATCAACTCAAACCAACTTTCATGCGATGAGGTTTGGGCATCTACATTTTTGAAAACTCTCTGCTTGAAATAAACTAGTGAATGACATCCCAGGTTGTCAGTAGTTTGAGACAGCCAGGCGACCACAGCTGTATTTTCATGCTAAAGAAGAACTTTTATTCCAATGTGAGAAGGGAGGGCTGGACTCAGGGACCTGCCATCTACTCACTGCCTCAGCACCCTATATTCCTGAGGGAGTGGATCTGGGACAAAAGTGGTGGCCATGCTGAGAGAGGAACAGAGAACTCAATGTCCTTTGACAATGCCATAGTACTGCTACATATAAGAAGCCTGAGCCACCTATGCAGTGAGGTATCTCCTTAATGAGCAGCAACTGTCCTTCCCAGTTTGATCTTCATCAAATAAAAAGAAGAGAACCCTGTCTGAAGACACAGGATTTATAGAAATAACCAGCAGGCTCTCATTTACAAGATACCAACATGTCTTGGCAATGTTCTCCAAAGGGAGCTATGTGCCTGGCTCTGGGCGTGGGGATGGAGATTTGGAAACCGTCAAGCTGTTGGTCCTTGAAGTCCACCAGCACTTGAGTTCTCTGTCACATCATGGCTTTTCCCACCTAGCACACTTTCCCTCCTTCACTTCTTTCCACTTACCTAGTCTGACTCAGTTTTCACATCTCAGTCCTATAGTCAATTCCTGACATGCCTTCCCTGAAGCATCCATGACAGGCTATGCCTCCCTGGTTATCTACTCTTTAAATTCTCCTCAGTTTCCTTTATACAACTCACCAGAATTATAGCCTATGGATTGACATCTTCTTATGTGAATTCAAGAGTGACAGATGTGTGGCATGCAGCATGCCAATGTTTCTAATTGTTTGGCTTTAATCTGACCTGCATTTCTAAAATATTTTATTCCAGTGGTTGCTTTGGCAGCATATACACTAAAATCTGAAATACATTTATTATTCTGACAGGAAACTTTGTTTTAGTCTGGAAAATGAAGTCAACAACAGAATACAACAATGAAATAAAAATGTCACTTGGTCCCAGTGAACTTGGGCAGCCTGCTGAGAGCTGGCAATTAGAGGCTGTCCTCTGTGTCAGCCACTGCTGGGTGAAAAAGAAGACTCAGCATGAATCTGATGTTTCCGTGCCTATAATCAGAAGGCTGGACAGGAAGGTAGAAGGGTCAAGTGTCCCTTCACATGCTGTTTTGAGGACATTAAGCTCTTCAACTGACACAGGCTGAGGACTAGCCTCACGAAAAGAGCGGTAATTACAAAAGTGTCCTTGGTCTTTTTCCCAAGATCATGTTTTTAGAGATATGTGACAGTGATGCCCAATGTTTCCTGAGAACCTGACTCACATCTTCTCATAATTCATCACCACAGCCTTGAGCGGGCAGTGAGGACAGCTGACTCCTCCATAGTATCCTCGGCAGGACAGTAAAGCTTTGTGTTTAAACTTCATGTATCTGATGCAGACACAAATGTATCAGGCAGTGGGAAGTGGGACCAGAAAACTTTAGGAGTTGAGGGGACAAAGCAAGCGAGCTCTTGTGACCTTATTACCCAGCCATGAATCATAAGTCTTCAAGGGTGAGAAGGGAGTTACCTAGTGAGACCAGAATTGTACAGATCTCTAGCATCACCTCCTGATACAGAGTCCTCTGGGTCAGGTCTAACTGTCTCCATTCCTCCTGTGTGAAGGTCACAGCCACATCACTGAAAGTCTCCAAGACCTGGAAAGTCAAACAGAAGCACTGGCATGTATCTTATTTCTGGATAGGATCAGAGCCTGTCATTCAGTCTCTAAAGAAGGGCCAGAGGCTGGACTCACTTAGGGCTCCTGAGGGCCAAGTTCTATGTTGGGGTCAATGTGGAGGTACATATGGCCTTTAGGCGTAAGGTAATTCTGAGCAGACAAAAAGCTTCCCATGGGAAAGCAACTAAAGAAAACACACACAATAGCATTCGTTGAGAACTGTGACAGGCATAGATTACATGCTCTGAGATACAGCAAAATAGAAACAATTTTGATAATTCACACTGTGACAGCAGTAGCAGCTGAACTCTTGGTGTTCAGTGTACCTGCCCCAAACAGAAGGCTGTGCATGCCACGGTAAAGCAAATAAGGGACCCTAGCACTGGGGCCACAATCAATCCTCTTACATCTCACATTTGCCAGCTGCTTGATCATGAAAATTTCATATTATTTCTATAAGTCTCAGTTTCCAAATCAAAATCCAAAGTCATTCCTATATTATTATGTAGTTCTGAGAACTAATGAGGCTATAAGTTGAGTATCTACAACATGTAAGTAAGTGTCATGTGCTCTGAAATGTCTATCAGTCTTCCAGAAACCACATGAATAAATGCCATTATTATTCCTATGTCAGGGTCACTAAAATGGACTCAGCTTTCAAAGTAAATCACAGTCTCATATAGGGGTACCTGGATCACAGAAATCATACTAGAATTGTGGAACTAAGTTTGTGAATCAAGGTAGCACTGTATTTAGTCAGAAGCACCTCTGGAAGCCAAGGCAGATCTCAAACTCATGCGTAGCAGAACTTGTCTCAAAATTTAGAAAGGGGTAAGGAGGTAGCTTAGTCCTAGGGCCATGGATTCAATTCCCAGCACCACCACAAAAGAAAAGAGCAAAGCAAAGCAAAGCAAAGCAAAAAAATCCCAAACAAAACAACCCCCCCCAAAACCAAAAAACAACAACAAACCAACCAAAAAAACAAAAGAAAAACAAAAACGAAAACGAAAACACTCCAAAAAACAAACCCCAACCCACGTCGACAGGATTTACACATCTGGTAAAACACCTCACAAAGGTGCAAGGAGGAGGCAGTGCTTCAGCTAGATCTATGGTGCCCAAGAAAATACCACCCTAGTCCTGATGCACAAAAAGGGTGTGCAGGACAGATCATGGACAGAGTCCCTCAGCAAAAGAAGTGCAAGGACAAAGGCTGCATAATGGGAGACAGCTTGGTAAATTCAGGGCTCTGGCTGATGGAGTGAGTCAGGGGACAAAGGAAGAGGAAGCAGAAGTTGCTAATGAGCAGATCAAGAACTGGCAGGGCAGTGTCACATGACCGTAATTTAGATGCTGAGGCAGGAGGATTTCATGATTAAAGGTAGTTTAGGTAACTTAGCAACACATATACGCTAAGGCAAGGGATGGGACATACATAAGTGGGACAGTATCTCTGGGTTCAGTCCCCAGTGCCAGAAAGAACAGAAAGCAGATCAACTAGTACAGCTTGTGGGCCATGTTGGAGGGCTGGGAGATGGGATTTTTTCCACATGTGGAGGGAGCCCTTGAAGGGGAGACCTACTCATTGCTGAAAGCAATCAATGTATTCGAGCTAGGCTATTCTAGGTCTTGGGGAAGAGTAGCAACAAGCATTCACACACAAGCACTGTGAACAGATTTTATATAACCAACCAAATAACGAAGCAAGGCAATTTTAGATTGCCTTGAAGATTCAGAACACAAGAAACGGAGAGGAGACCAAAGATACCTGGTCAACTTTACGTAGACCAACAGTAAAGTATTTTTACAGGGTAGAAACCAGAGGAAATCTGAAATAAAGTGAGGGAGGGAGAAGAAACTGACACAACATGGGTCCTCGCAAAAACAAAAACAACACCCCCAAAACAAAAACCAACAACAAAAAAAATCCCCCCAAAACAAAACCAACCAAAAACAAAAACGAAAAAACTCCAAAAAAACAAACAAACAAAAAAACCCAATCCACGTCGACAGGATTCACACATCTGGTAAAATCGGGCATAAGGCGCAGTGAGCCATCAGGGTAACTGCGAGAGTAACGCGGGGCCTCGCGTGTACGTGCACACGCCCGGAGGCCAAGTCTCATGGGCGCTGGAAAACAGGTATCTGTCAGGTGCGACCCAGCGTCACTTGTCTTAATCTGAGAGATGCATTGCACCGCCCACTTGCGACCTCTCTTGCGCAACGGTCGACACAGCAGCAACTCCCAACCCGGAGAACCTCCCTGAGCTGGGGAGACGCGTGTCGGTCTGGCCCGTCTGGCCTCCTTGACCGAGGGATGGGAGGTCCGAGGGCGGCGGGAGCTTCGGTGGAGGGTTAGTCCGCTGGAAGCAGCCGTACGCCCGCGCTCAGCCCCGCCCGGCTCCGACAGCAGACGAAGTCAGCAAGGGTCGCCGGAGCGCCGTCCACTCACCCGCGGCGCCTCAGTCTGCGCCGCCATCCTGAGGCCAGCGCCTCCCCCACCCACGCGGGAACCAAGAAGCCCTGTGGTCGCGGCTCTCGAGCTCCCCCGGTCCCAGTACACTCAACCTCAGCAACACCGGAAGCCTCGGTCCGGTCACGCAAGGCGTTGTTCACGCCCCTTCCGGTGACGACATACGCTAGGCGCGCCACAGTCCTGCTGCCTTCTGGGTAAGGAAGTTCCAGCCTGTGTCTCCCGGAGGTGGACGAGACCATACTGGCCTGTAATCTGCGGCCTGGGTCGCTGTTAAAGGTGTTCCAAGGCTGTGACGGAGGAGGAGGAGCTTGAATACTCTTACGTGAGACACACGTAATACTTCTCATGAACAAATACAAATGCTCTTGAGGGCTAAGTGAATTCTATGGTAAATTCCAAATTTTCACGTTACTCCAATCCTCAGCATCCCCTCAGCCCCTCACTGGCTGTTTTTATCTTTCCAGATTGCATTAGTGGGATAGACTGGTCCCTGCCACAGCGTCCTCTCCTTCCGTGACAGACACTGCAAAGCACCAGGAAGCTCTCCTACCTTTTCAGTTGGAATGCATTCTGACGCCCAATACAGGCATCATCCCTCAGTCCATGCTCTCTCTTGGGTCCTCACCCTGTCTTCTTCCCATGTCATTCTCTCCTTGTTCTCCTGGGACCTGAGGTCTGGGAGTTCAGCAACTCTAGCTTTCAGGTGTGTCTCTGAATGTAATTTCAGGCCCTGTAGTTGTGTTCCTTAAAGACCCAGCAAAAATACCCCTACATCACAAAACATAATAGTCACTTGGATAAAAACTATACTCATTCGTACCTGTGAACTAAAATACTTTTTTTTTTTTTTTTTTTTGGTCTTTTTCATTTTTATCAGTACCAGGGATTTAACTCATGACTGCCTGCTTACAAAGCAGGCACTCATGCCGCTGAGCTAAATCCCCAACCCCTAACTAAAATACTTTTGATGCTCTTCAAATACCACCCTGAGCCTACAATTGGCTTTGTGAGTGTCACTTTGTTGGTCAGAGTCAAGAGAGAAAAATCTCATACAGGGCTATGACAGGTAGGCTGAGGAAGAGATTTGAGGCATCCTTAAAGTAGGAAAAGAATGAAAGCATTGTTTCTGATAAATTTCTGGATAAATGTACGAAGATGCTTAGGATTAAGTGTAAAATATAAAGAGTGGATTTAGTTTAGATAAAATTAGGTGATTAACATATAATTTAAGCTTTTGTCATTATCCAAATATACATATGTAGATATAGTTATTCTATCCTTTCTGTTATTTTTTAGCAATATATTTCCCAAAATACCTATCTCATGAACAAATACAAATGGCAAATAAGTATATAAAAATGGTCAACATCATTGGTCAACTGAGAAATGCAAATTAAAACAACACTGAGATTCCATCTAACTCCAGAAACAATGTCTATCATCAAGAAATCAACATATAACAAATGCTGGAGGTCACTGTGGGGAAAACGAACCTATCTCCACTGTTGGTAGGAGTATAGACTGGTGCAAGCACTGTGGAAACTGGTGTGAAGATTCCTCAAAAACTAAGTTTGAAGGTCCTGTTTAATCCAGCTATCCCCATTCTGTGTATTTTCCCAGAAGAATTGAAAACATCAAACCACAGCGATATATGTGTATTTACTTTTACAGCAACACAATTTGTAGTAGCTAAATCTTGGAAACAACACAAATGCCCAACAACTGAGGAATAAATAAAAAAGATGTCATTTTATAGAATGGAGTACTAATCAGCCATAACAGATAAACAAGACTTTTACAGGTAAATGATGCAACTTCAAACCATACTGATATGTAAAATAAATCAGACTCACATGTGTACACATTATATTGTCTCCCATGTGTAAGAACTGAAAGAGTAAATAAGATCCAAAATGTTTGATAGATATTGTAAAACAGAAAGAAATTGCTCAAAAGAACAGAACAACTGCAATGGCAGGAGAAAAAGAGAAGGGAAAATATATATGAATGATATATGAATACAAGATATATGATTACTCAAGAGAATATATATATATATGTATATATATAAGATAGCTAAAATAATTATACTAATTTCTGTTTGTTGAAAAGAACAGTTTGTGCTTATACTATTTTTTTAAAATTTTATTTAAGAGGAAAAAGAGAAAAACACAAAACAAAACAAAGAGCCTATATATTGTAATCTGAGCAACTACTTTGTTTTTTCTATCTTTTTTTTTTGGTACCTGGGATCAAACTCATGACTGAGCTTGCCAGGCAGGTGCTCATGCGGCTGAGCTAAATCCCTTGCCCTGAGCAACTACTTTGAAGATAACAATATGCAATATATTATCCATTGTTAGTCTATTATCTTGATTTGAATCTATCATTGATTTTATTTTTTTCTCTTTAAAATAAAAATAAAAACCTCTTACAGCCAGATGTGGTGCACGTGCCTGTAATCCCAGCACTTGAGAGGCTGAGACAGGAGTATTGCAGCAAATTTGAGGCCATCCTGGGTTACAAAGTGAGTTCAAGGCCAATATGAGCTGAATAATGAAAGCCTGTCTCAAAAAGACTAACAAACAAAAACTTCTAGTATATAGGTTATTAATAAAACTATATAAGATGCTTCATTTCTTTGAATGTCCATAACTCCACACTTAAAAGCATCCTATATTTACTGCTAATAAATGTTTCTCATGTCTGTTTAAAAACATAAATAGATAAAACTAAACTTTTTTAAGAAAATGATGTAAATCTTTGCATTTTCTTCACATAAAATGTTTAAAATATTTTCTAATTTTCATTTCATTTTAAAGAATTCTAATTTTTTTTTTTTTTTTGTCGTTTTTGGTACCAGGGATCGAACTCATGACTGCCTGTTTGCAAGGCAGGTGCTTATGCCGCTGAGCTAAATCCCCAGCCCCTGGGGATTATTGTTGTATGCTGGCACCAGTGTATATAAAATACCCTCGTGAAATAGAAATTCATGAAAATTCAGAGAGGTAGAGGTTAAAGACTGACAAAAGTAGAAATTTGTGTATGTTATGGCACATGTTAAGAAAGGGGAAGTTTTTTGTACAGGCTTCAATTTTCTTTTTTTCTGAATAGTCACGGTTGGTTAAAAGTGGTCTGAGAACTCCCAAAAATTCAATTTACTACAAAAAGGAACAGACTTTCTGCGGTCTGAAGGAATTTGTTCTTGAGGATACTCCTGTCAGGAGAGGATCATGCTGAGCATTCTGCAGGCAGAACTGTTTCAAGTCTGCAGCTGCCTGGGAAACCTTCATGCGGTTGAGCCCGGCCTCCAGCCGGAGCTGCTGAACCACTTTCTTCATAGCGGTGATGCTGGAAGAGCCAGACATAGTACACGCGCTATGGCCGGCCGACTCCAGGGCCAGAGGCAGCGGGACAACAGTGCTAGGCGAGACGGCGAGGGGGGAAGAATTCTAATTTTTAAATCATGTTTAACTGTGGTTTCTGATAGAAACAAAAACTTAAATTTTGTGCTGTTAGGGAAATATATGCCATAATATTTTGACAAATTGATACATTTTAGAATAAAAGAAGATAGAATATCTTTTTAAATTTTATTGTCATTTTATGGTCATTGCCAAACAAACTTTTTGAAGCATATAATTTTGCCTGTGAAGAACTGCCTGTTCAAATACAAACCTTGGGGTTGGGGGTTTAGCTCAGCGGCATAAGCACCTGCCTGGCAAGTGTGAGGTCCTGAGTTCGATCCACAGTCCCACAAAACAAACAAACAAAAACCAAAACACACCCACAAATACCTTGACATCATTTAATTTTGGACTTTTAATAATTTTATGATTGTCATTACTACTAGCCATGATCTTGTCTTCAATGTCTGAAAGTCTGTCTTCAGTTTCATTAAGTGATTTTGCCAGCTTTCAATGAAATTTTAACTTCATGGGTATCTGTTGGAGTCTATTTCATGCATTTTATTCCTTTCCTATATTGATCATTCACAGTTTCCATCCTCTATCATCTATTTTCTTATCTGTCTCTACTGTAGATTTACTGAGCAATTCCTTTGTAATGCTGACATTACATTTTTTTTAGTCTGTGTTTTAGGGATGTCTTCTTTTTATAGAAGATTCTTGGTTTATGTCTGTCTGAAGATCATACTTTTTCAATTATTGAAGAATGGATTGTTGGTAATTGTTTGGCTTAGTACCTAGGCCTTTGGTGTAGGGCTGTGGTGAGGTTATTACCCCAGAGCTCCTAGTATTGTTACAGGAGAGAAAACAATTGAGATTACAACTGATGTGACAATCTGGGTGATATGGTAAAATTAGCATTAACAATAGCATGAAGCACAATGTAGAAACTGACAGACTGTAGTAGCTATTGATTTTGTGCTTTAGATCATAGGCACAAAGTCTATAGTTATGTAACAGAACTGATTTTAAATTAGGAGTTTGCATGCAAAGTGTTTCCCATTGGCAGAGTGACTATACCATGTGTAGGGAAATTTAGGAATGATAGTGTGTAAAACAAAGAACGGCAGAGGAAGTAACACAAGGCTGGAGGACAAAGGATGGTCATACAAGGTTTGGAAAACTAGAGAAAGGGGTAGAAAAGAAAGGGTGAAAGAGGGATTTGAGGGATTATCTGAGCTTGTCTCTGGGTTTGCGGATGGTATTAGTTTTCTTTTTATTTAAAATATATATATTATATAATATATTATAATACATATATAATATATAATATTACATATATATTATATATTTTAAATAAAAATAAAAGTTATATATATATATATATATAATATATTAGTTCTATATAAAAGGGGGAGATTAAGATGAAAGAGGACATAACCACACAGGTCAGAACAGAGCAATTTAAGCCACATAGTGTTTCACCACAGGATAACCCGACATAACAGTAGTTACCATAATGTCTCTTTCCTTAAATATTTGAGTGTGCCTTCATATACTATCAAACATAACAAGACAGTTTAAAACTATTCAAGAAGGTAAAAGTATTACAGGGTATTTAGAACCAACTAACAGAAAATGAACAATGGTTTCTATATTATCTCCTTGACTATAAAAAATTTTGTTTATACTATCACATAAAATAAAATCCAATAAGAT